CCAGTCAGATCATTTTAAGAAACGGAAAAGCATCAGCTGTCATCAACGGGGAGCTTTATACTCAATGAAATAGGAGCATGATAACTTTTAGAAGTCTAGTGATGAGGCCAGTGTCACAACTTTTGAAAACTGTGTGAGAAAGTTTCATTTTCTTAATAAATAACCAATAGAACAGTGTTTCTCATCCTCAGCAACTTTAAGATGGGGAGACTTCAACTCCCAGAATTCCCCAGCCAGCATGGGTTCTGCATTTCTGCATCATTGACCTAGAGGCCCTCAAATGTTGTGGCTCTCCCTCTCTACCCCTAGAAACCAATTTCCAGTAACTCTTCCCATCTCCACTGCTGTTGCCCTGCAAATAATGAGAGGGGGAGATGGCAGAGAGGAGGCATTCCTGGGCACTTCACTATGCATCTCTATACGTGGTAGTGTGTTGGCGTGGAGGGGGGGTGTCCTCTGGAGTTGGTGCACAATGCAGTATCCTTTGGCATGGAATCTGCTTGGGTGATCAATAGGTAGATCAACTGTCTTGCTCTTAGTGATGCATAGCAATTTGCAGCCCAGTACTGAATGCAGTTTTAAATGTGTAAAGGCTAAGTAGTACATTGTCAGACCTGTTACCTCTATGGGATTACTCCTATGGTTCCCTCAATATTAAGGTCAAATTCTGGATTTCCACTGTGGCCATTTTTACACTGAAGCAAAGCTATTACTCCTATGGTTCCCTCAATATTAAGGTCAAATTCTGGATTTCCACTGTGGCCATTTTTACACTGAAGCAAAGCTATTACTCCTATGGTTCCCTCAATATTAAGGTCAAATTCTGGATTTCCACTGTGGCCATTTTTACACTGAAGCAAAGCTGCTACCTTTTAAATTCTTCTTTGCATATTCAGTTATGTCATAACTGCGTTGTGCTTCCATGGCATTTGTTGCAGTTGCTGCAGCTATTAATAATGTTGCAGTAAAATTTCTGTCTTCTGATTTATCTTCTTTCTTAGATATTTGAAAAATAATTGTGCTTTCTCCCCCAGGATTATTAGGAAAGCATACAGAATCCAAAATCTAAAAATACCAACAGCATTACTGTACACTTTAGAATTTGGGTTTAAGGAAAGTAAAAGTGCCGTTGTGGCCTTTGGCCGAGTTCAGGCATTCACAGTTTGCTTATTGACCAACCCCTTCCCCCTGATGGTGGAGGAACAATTTAAAAATTTTAAATACGGTTCAATGATTTAATATTCTTTCCCCTGCAGAAAGTGGTAGAGCCCAATTTCCTGGTTTAACTAAAATTAAAAGCAGGGCTATGTAAGAAAACAGGCCTGTATGCAGAGCAAAACAGGAACTGAAAGTTACAGAGACCGGCCCGGCACTGACGGGCGGAAAGGGGCTGCTGAGCCTCCTGTGCCACTGCAGCTTTCAGAATTATAGTTAACCTAGTCACTGCACTTCCAGAATGTTGTACAATTTTTGTTCTGGTCCCTCCGTGGCTTTGGCAAGAGCTGACAATACTATTTGTTTCAGAAGAAACCTCTCAGGTGAAATGATTTATTGTGGCTTGCTTTGGCTGTGCGCTTGGCTCTGCTGCCGGTTAGGCGACGAGATTTATAGGAAGCTGCGTCTGATCTGAATGAGGAGGAGGTTGAATGGGAAGCGCCAGCGCTCCTTTACAGCGCCTGTGTGGCAGCTGTAATGTCTTCCCCATTTGCTGTAATAGGAATACTTTTATTTTCCCATTCTGCCTGTAGATGGGTGAGCGCCTGGGAGAAGACCATGGCAAACCATTTCTGTGCTGCTGCCAAGAAGACTGCAAGCAAGCATCCATGGAGTTGAGCTCAGTTTGCGGCGGGGGGGGGCGGTGGTGCCTTTAAACTTTTACGGAAGGGCCAGAGGATGGACCGATGCGGTCTCCTGCTTCCCCGGTACACAGAGCTCATGGTCTGTCCTTCTGGGTGTGTGGTGAGTCCCTCTTGGGCTTTGCGCAAAACCACAAGCACACACCCTTCTCTGAATTCCTGATGCAGCGCTGGCAAGAGAATTGATAGCAGCAATTATTTCTTCGCAGTCTGGCATGCAGGCAATTACCAGCAGGGAGTTTGGCCAAGCACGGCACATGTGCGGATCTCGGCTCTTTGCTGCACAGGCCTGTCTCCGCATGTGGCGATGGCTCAAGGCAAAAGAAATTGATACAGCGACATTTATGCTGCCGGTGCTGGTCAGATGGGCATGACTGCAGTGAGGAGCAAGAAACTGACATTTTGAAAAATGCCGGCCCTGGCATAGGGCTGGACTCATGACATTTTCTCTTTCAATTTTGTTTTTTGCTCTTTTTAACTTCATGCACCAAGGGCTTCCATGTTGCTCAGCTATAGCCCTTATTTCAGGCAGTTAAGACAGAGTTTTTATCTGCTAATGCTTCCTCTTTCCTGTCCTCTCCCTCCAGTGGCACATCCTCATTAATTGATGGAGGAGGCATCTCTGATAGGAGTTCCTGAACAAATAATCCACTGGGTCTGTTCTTTGGACATGGATGACAGCCTTCTCCACCTATGTGGGGTCTGTGTGTTTGTTTTTAAAGTACAATTCTAATTTAGCTTGCCACCAATCATGCTGACTGGGGCTGGTGGGCACTGAACTCTGATGCAGAAATCTGCTAGTTTTCATCCTCCACATCTACAGCCCCATCTGAGTATTTACCTCAAACCCCCCCTTTCTACTATGATGAGCATTCAAGGCAGCTAAAAATGTCCCCTCAGAGGGGCTTCTTCTGCAGATCTTCACAGCTGGACAGATTGGCAATGAGAGAATTGGACTCTTAGCCATCAGGGGCTTTAAAGCTTAGCCTCTGAAATTGGGCCCAGTAGCCAGTTCACTGCTGCAGATTTTTCCATACAGGCATCATACGACCCCTGTAATTTGATTGCACCAGTTAGCTTCCTAGCCACATTTTGCATGTATTGCAACTTCCAGGCACTTTCAGAGAGACAGGAATTGATTCAAACTGAAATTTCCATGTGAGGACAGAATTATAGTTGGAGGGCAGTGGTGTCTGCAGGGCAGGGGCGAGGCCGTAACACACACAAAAAAAGCAGGGCTTCAGTTGTGCAGTTGGGGCTGGCATCTCGACTTTACTGACCAGCAACCCCCCCCCCATTCCTCCACGTACTTGCGTGGAGGTGACAGAAATGATAGGAGATTAAAGTGTAGAAGGAAGTAAGTACTATTTATGGGAACTATATAATCCAGTCAATATATACCCAACTGTTCTATGCATCCAGTCATTGCTATGAAGTGATGCAAAGGATACTATGAATCCCTTGGACATAGCTGCACTACCTGTGACCTAGCAGGCTACTTGCAGTGTCATGGACCGGGGGCTGCCCAGCGCCTTTCCCCACCTATCTTGGACACAGGCACCAAACAGAGAGGAAGCAAGGGATCTGTTTTTGTGTGTGTGTGTGTGCACGCACGCACACACACACACACTCCCAGATCATTGGTCTTAGTGTACAAGCCTAATGGGGGGAATGCTGCTTATTCAGCAAATGCAAGCAAGGTTGTTTCCTTGATAGACAAGTAGGGTTTTCTCAATGCAAGAGAATTAGACACCTAATCTTTCTTCTGGACCCCCTTTCCTGTGTCTTGTCTTGGTCTCCTGCCCTAATTAGGTGGGGAGAGCTAAATATAGATGCAAAAAACATATCAATCCACAGTGCTTAGAAGTGGGATTTTTGAAAGAGACAGCTCAAACATCCAATGCTTTGGAACATCCAGCTGGTGCTTCTCAGCTCTGTCCAGCCCAAGAGGGTTGCAATAAAACTAGCAAAACTGGTTGGCTAGAGTCAAAGCTGAGCAAATGACCTGGATTAGACTGAAGGGAAGAATGCCGCAAGATGATTGGATAGCCTTGACAAGTTAGCCAGAAATATTCTTCAGGATGTTAGTTTGATCATGTGAACTGATTTCCTGAAAGCTCTCTTGCACTGCCTACTAGAAAAGATTTGCCTTCTGCCCTGGGTCTTCTCTTGTCCAGGATTTTTATCCCCCGCCCCCATTTTCCTACAGCAGCCTGTATTTTGCAGATTC